GACACTTGTGTTTCAGATCGGCAACTAGATAGGGCCCAAAGTGTCTTTCTGTCTTTCTCGGCTGTGATTAGTTGTTTTTGTTCAGCTGTGGTGAATTCTTGTAAATACTAGTAGGAGCACTAGGAGGAGCCAGAGTAACCTGATTTTTTTAAAAAAAGCTTTAATATTGTAAACATAATTTGTAGATAATGCAGATTGGTGACAAAAACACAAGACAAAAAATGAAAAGAAGTGCTGATGAAAAGATAGCTGTACAGTCATCAGCATATCTGTTTTAGTATGGAAAAGAAAAACAGCACAGTGTACACATAGGTGTGTGTGTGTGTTTCCATACGCAGGCTGCTACTTTTGCCATTTGCGAATCTGAGCATATTGAGCGGCATAAGACTGCCTGCTGGTGTGCTGACCCTCCTCTGTCTCTGATTCATACATCTCCTCTTCTTCCTCCTCTTCTTCATCCTCATCTTCCCCCTCTAGGTCTTCCTCCTCCTCCACGCCTCTCTGGCGTTGTAAGGTGCTGCGAGACTGCAAATGAAAAAAGGTGAGAATTCTCAGGCTCAGTGAGTGATGGCCTTCAGGACAGCAGTTTAGAATTGACCAGCAGTCACTATGGTAACAGAGACATAAGCGCTTACCCTCCTGGCTGTGTCTGGGTACTGGCTGTGTTGTTGTCTGTGGTTTTGGCCTGCTGTAGATGCTGGTGTTGACCTAAGGCTTTGGCCTTTGGGGGAAGCCAGAGGTGGACTGGGGTAGCGGCTCATGAGGGGAGAAGAGTAGCTGCTCAGTGTAGTGTCTAGGCGCCCAGCCAGAGGGTCGGACATCTTGATTCGTCCATTGAACAGCTATGGAGTCAAGAAATAGTCAGAGTTTTCAAGCTTTTAGTCTTTCTTTTTAGTCGATCTGCTCTCTTACTGTGTGTTGTATATTCCGTTGAATCTCTCAGAGACCTCCTAATATTGAACTATTTATTGATGGATGATGGATGATGGATGACCATCCACCCAGTGTTCCTGGCTAAAGGGGTAGTTGCCAGATGCACCGACCTGTTTCACTGGAATAGTTACTTAAGTTTTCAATTTTACATTTCTATCTGTATGAGTTTAACAAAGAAGACAATACAGACCCAGATCTATATTGTCTACACAAAAAAAAAAATTAGTACAGGGAAAGAACATGGTACTAGTAGAAACTAAGAACTACAAAAAAAACTTACTACTTACTTTCTTGATTATAAAATGATTTCATTATTATCTAGTTTCCTGGTATGTTTCCATATACTTACTTATTACTTATACTTAAGTAATCTGTTAGTAATCTAAAGTACTTTATACTTACTAACCAGTTCTTTTGGTACTTTTCGTTTAGTATTTTGTTGCTATCTAATTTCCTAGTAAATACCAGGTAATTAGGGGACTGTAAAATAAAGTGTTACCTGGCACAGTGTCTGTAACTCTGATTAATCTATTTTTGTGTTCTCAGGGGAAGCAGAGCAACATTTTACATATTATGACCTTATAAAGTTGATATGCTGAATGGGCAGAAAACTGTTTACTCATCCAGCATACACAGAGCAACATTCATTTGGAGTGGTGTTTCTGGCCTGATAAAGGTTTTAGGTCTCAATTCATTATAAAAATATCTGTCTCTTTAGCTGCTAAATGTTTCACTCTGTTCATCAGCTGTAACTCAACATCAACTGTCTGACTGCTGTTAGCTGCTGAGCAGGTAGTATATGGTGGGTTTCTCTTTACAGTTTACAGTATATCAGTAATTACACAGTTTAGTTTCAGCTGTTATCAGGTGTATCATTAGCATGAGCTACCTCTAGATCCTTTTGAATGTCCATTGCTTCCAGGTTGTGGTATGTGTGTGTGTAGACCTCCAGTGCTTTAGCATGGAAGAGCATCTCCACTGTGATGAAGTCTGTGAAAATCCCCTGCCAAAAAACAAAGCAATGCTTGCCATCAGTGCAGCGTTGATGCTTTACCTGGAGGATGTATTATAGACTGTGTGTGTGTGAGACTGACTTTGATGTCCTCTAGCTTCTGCCTCTGGAAGTCTGTGATGGCCTCCTCTAGCTGTCTGATACTGCGCTGGGCATTGTTGGAAGCTTTCTGAGCATTTACTTCTGCCTGTCGATTAACACATGGTTCAGCAAACAAAGCTTTACCTCATAGTCTGTATGAGCCGCCCAAAGGGTCAGTAATGTCATCATATGCATGAGATAATAATAAAATAATTTACATTACCTGAGACTGAAAGTTCTTGTCAAGAAAATATTCTCAAGTGTAATTGTGTATAATGTATACACAATTGTGGTGCCTATAAATATAATACTATAAAAACAGATATATGGCCATAGATGTAAATTGCATATATAATATATCAATGTATGTCTCTCACCAATATCCATAACATAAGAAGTCCCACCAAAAATAGAAATTCAACCAAATTCAAACCTGAGATTGCATGATTTTTATGGTTACACCAAATGGAAATATACCATGTGGAATTTTTGGCAACTACACTAGAACTTTAAATAAAGTTGTGGGGGTTTGACTGACCCATTGGCGGTTCATTAAAGATTAATAAGTCAATAAAACACATTTTTCATGTGTGGTGATAAAAAGAGTCCGTATGTGAAGGATACAATACTTTGTCGATCTGCTGGGTTCCTCAGCCGGACTTTCTCAAGTTTCTGCAGCTCCTTCAGCTCTCTGTTCAGATCAGTGTTGAATTTCTTCAGATCAGCCTGAATGGTAGATACACTGTCAGCTACACAGCACAAAAGTATTTTTCATATAGTTTATGCAGTGCTGTGAGACTCAAGTGCAGTCTCCGGGTGTTTTTTTCAATTGTCTCGGACTTGTCTTGGACTTGTTAGTATATGGACTCTGACTTGTCTCAGTCTTGGCCATTGGTCTTGCCAAATATTCTAATTAGTAACTTCCTCCTTAAAAACAAATCCAATTATGATGCGTGCTTGTTCAGAAAATGGCTATTTGTAATTCTAAATCCATCTAGAATTGGCATTGACATTGGCCATCTGGTTATCAAAACTTATTTCACTGGCAATAGCAAAAGCATTATTTTTGTCTGTCTCGGTCTTGACTCTGTCCCTCTCATTTGGACTTGGTCTTGACTGGTACTCAAACCTTCCAGTACTTGGACTTAACTTGGACTCAAACCTCCTTTGACTCGGTCTTGACTTGGTCTTGACTTGGTCTTGACTAGGTCGACTGGTCTTTGGCTTGTCTTGGACTCGACAGAGGTGGTCTTGACTACAACACTTTCCACACAAGACAAAAACAGCACTGGTTGCAGCAACAGACTGAAAACTGAATTATCTGTCAAGCAGCCAAGAATTACAGCTGTCACAGGGAGTGCAAAAATGAAACGCTACATCCGGAGTTCATCCTGAACTGTAAACTTTTATGCCGATGCACCAGTGCAAGGATGGTAAACGGAATACAAAAACATACATGAGTACAGATTTCAAGTGTTAAGAAAATTCCTCCCAATCACCCATTTTACACTTCCTGCAGTTATTGTGTTCACTATGTGGGTTCACTGTAAAGTTTATCAGTTGTTCTGTATTGTTATTTTTATGAATATGAAATGAAATATCCATAAAATCATCACTAAGTAAAGGGTCAATGATAGAAAAGGAAATAGGTTGTTAACCACTGGTATAGTCTGTAAAATAAGTGAAACAGGAAACAGCAGAATGTCAGTCCCACATTTGTGTAGCTTATCTATCATATACTCACTCTCTCTTGTCAGACTCTTGTAGGCAATCTTAATGATTTTCTCTGACAGTTAGCATTTTTCAGACTTGTCTTTTGAGCTCCTCATTATCTGTGATATTACTTGCTAGTAAATGTTTAGTACACACACACACAAAAAAAAATTTAGTACAGGGAAAGAACATGGTACTAGTTAATTAAATCGAAGCATCTAAGAGCATGGAACTTTGATATAACTGATTCCTGAAAACATTGCATAAGCACCTATGACACATCATCAAGCCACAACAGGATACTTTGGGATTGGCAGTATATGGTATATAAAGGTAAGTAACTGTAACTCACCAATGTTTTGTAAAAACAATGACACTTTTCTTTTTTTTTTTCTCTCTCACATTTGTAACAGCAATATGTACCTACTGGGTAGAAACTAAGTACTTACTAACCATTTATTTGGGTAAAAAAACGTAGTACTTACTTTCTTTTTCTTATGGATACTATACAGATTATTTCATTACCATCTAGTTTCCTGGTATGTTTCCATATACTTACTATACTACTGTAAGTAATCTAAAGTACTTTATACTTACTAGCCAGTTCTTTGGGTACTTTTCTAATAACTATTTTGTTGCTATCTAGTTTCCTAGTAAATATTAGGTAATTAGGGGACTGTAAAATAAAGTGTTACTTGGCACAGTGTCTGTAACTCTGATTAATGTATTTTTAGGTGGGTAAGTCAGTATCAAAATCTTTATCCAAACTCACCCTTTTATTTTTGACTATGTCTCCGTAGGCTTTTAGAGGAGCAACAATTCTGGTCTCCAGTCTCTCTATCTGCAACAATGAATCATGACAAAAAGCTCATATTAAAGAGTTCGATGCAGAAAATAGAGCACATTGATTCATGGAAAACCACAGTGTCTCTGACCTGAGCTTGCCTGTAGTCCTGCACCATGGCAAGGTCTTCAGCCAGGTTTTTCAGGCCAATCTGAAGCTCAGGCTCCTCTGTCCGGGAGAAGTCGAAAAGCTGAGCTACCAGCAGGTCTGCTTTGTCTCTGAGCTTGGCAGTTTTCCGGGTGTAAGAGGCTAGCAGGGAGCAGATCTCACCCAGGTACTTCTCAGCATGTTTCACCGTCTGCTCCATGCTCTTCACATGGGCATCCCTGCTAGGACAAATTAAGAGAAACAATTGTAAATGACTACCTGTTGTCGACTGTGTGGATAATGTGAAGCATTAAAGCACTGACTCCTACCTGGACATGAGGCTGTTCATGTTTGTTCTGTTGTTTGCCTTGGCTGGTTTTCACCTGCACCAGGTAACGGAAGACTGTTGCTATAGAAACACTAACAACAGAGGTTGTAACAGCTGTTGTGACGATGTTAGTGATGCCCTTTGCCACTTGATGGCAGCAGAGTATTATTATGGCCATCTACTGGACCTTAGAGCTGGAAGTTCTGCATCTCACAAAGGAAAAACCATCATATCAGGTGTCATTCTCTGGAGTGTGTTTTTTTTACATTGTCTTTCTATACCACTGCCACTGGGGGCACCAAGGCCTGCCATATTCTCAGATTCAAAGAACCTGGCTTCTCTAGTGTCAGTCAGCTTAAAAACATTGATTTATGTAAATTAGAAAGGAAATGTAGAGTAAAAATTGAGGGCTTGGAGCCAAAGGGACATAAGTGTGTTGTGTGCAAACTTGAATTTGCTGTTATTAAACACAATATTAGATATTTGTGTTATCAGATTGAGCATGATTTTAAAAACAATATTGCTAAAGTTTGAAATTCTTTGCAAAAGAATGAGATACGCCTTTTTGGCACAAACATTTTACCAGCAGGGCTTGGAAGTAAATAATTGTAAACCATATTAATTTTAATTAAAAAGTACACACTTGTATGCACTGGATTATGCAGAGGTGTCATTAAGTATGTGTCTCAGTTTTCTAGTCATTCCCAGTTTTTACAATTCTAATATTGTTTATGGACCCCAGTCTTCAGAAATATTCAAATACAAAAATGCATTTATACCACATGCAAAAAACTGTTTTTTTCCCCCAAATTGCATGGGATTAGCATAAAGTGGGCATGTGTGTAAATTAGACTTGTAGGTACCCATAAAACCCATTTTCATTCAAATGTCTTCAGGTCAGAGGTTAATTACTAACAACAGTAGCCCCACCCAACCCACTCCCACAACTTGTAAACACAGGAAAAGCTGCTTGAAGTTTGTGTCACAAAAAGTTAAAAACAGCCAAGTCTTCAGATTCAAGAGATATCCAAGGCTACATGAAAAATAGCTTTGCTAAAGCAACACGCCTGTTTATTCCAGCTTAATAATAATAAACAGGGACTGTTACTCTATATAAATCTGCACAACGGTTGATGCTAAGCTAACAGTTTCTTTCAATGACTGCTGATATCTTTTTATTGAACTGTTGCTTAGAGGATCTTTGTCTCTTCCTGCTCTTTCAGATGTCAGTCATACAAAATAACATCTGTTTATCAAGAGGACTTTCTACATGCATGAAAGACCATTAAAAAATCTACAATAGTCCTCTCAAACATCTGACTTTATTGAATTAAGCTTTTGTGGCAGGTGACTTCGAACTTTTGAGTGGTATAGTGTGTATATTTTTAAAAGAGTTTTGGTAGAGCACTCGAAGGTGCTCAGTGTTCTTGTGCTATGTATTGATGCCATGTGGCTACATTTCACGTATTTGCTAAAAACAGTCCTGTTGTGAAAAATGCACATTTTTCATGTGTGTTATCGGATACAGTACTAAACAAAGGAATTAAGTTTAATTTTGAAAAGGTATAACATGGTATAAAAAACGGTACCACCATGCCTCCAATATCATCGTTTTAGGACACAAGTTGCGCATGAGGCCATACTTAGGTGGGACGTGAGTGGAACATACTGCTAGTGGGATATACAGATGGACAGCAGTCAGAGACATTGATGGTGCAGCAGTGGTTTGACAAGTTTCACATTTTCCTACTTTTTCCACATTGTAAAGAGCTCATTGGAACTAAAAGGGCAGCCATCTATCAGGAAACCACAAACTTTGATATAATTTCCTAAAGGTCAGGTTTCCTACTGTCCAGATAACATTATACTCAGTTGTCTCCTGCTTTTCTGGTAAATATCATTTGTCTGAAGCCGTAGTATAGCATCATTCTAATTAACCATGGATTCTCCTCAGTGCATGAATATTATCCACATGGCAGTACCTCCACCTGCTGGTTCTTTACTAGTACTACACACTTTGAAATCATAGATTATATTTTTGATAGTCATGGCTATGACTGTGATGTATTTTACCTTTTAGAATGTAGTCAATTAATCAGTATCTGTAATTCAATCAGTGACTGCTATCAGTTATGAGAATAGAGTGATCTGTATTACTAAAAGCAACATATATATATATATAAAAGCAACATATATATATATATATATATATATATATATATATATATATTAAAAAAATATATAAATCCATAAAATAAAATGGATATTTCAATCTTGGCCACAAACATTGCATTAAATTTAACATAAGAAGAGATAGTGAAAGACAACTTGGCCAACACACTTTTAAATTCTCTTTTTTTCTTTTTTTCTTCTCTTTTCCGCCATAGCTAGCCTAACTAGAAAGACTCAAGACTAGTAGCCAAAGCAGAAAGGGCAGCCAGAACAGGGTTTAATTGACAAAATGTCGAAACTTTTGCTTTTATTCAGTCTGTAATGGCTACACGTTCTTACAGGAGAATGTAAGAAAGACTTTAGACTTAACAATAATAAATGAAAATGTTAAAAAATAAGACTTATTTCATTTTGAGATTTTTTTCAAAGCCACAAGGAGCCACTGCAGAGTGGCTAAAGAGTTTGGATCTGGAGCTGCAGGATGCCACACTACTAGAAAAAATGTTGATGTTTCTCTACTAAATGTTAATGTTCTCCCCAATTAGTTTTGTCCCATTAGCACACTTGAGCTCAGTAATGATCCTGTTTTGCATTCTTATGCTGAGCATAGACCAGAAGTTTTTAGAAACTGAGACTTACTTATTACTCAAAGTATGAGGAAGCTGGGGTAGAATGTATTTCCCAGAAAATAACTCATAAGTCCCATTTTCTTCTATGGGAAGTGAAGGCAGCAGAAGCCCTGCCCTTTGAGAGCCAACACAAGTCAGTACATTCAGGGAGAAGGCAGACACAGCCAGCAGAGTGGAGGTAAGCCCATACACTTTCAGTTAGATGAGTTTATCGTGTTGGAAGGTATCTTACTCTACTTTCTGTTTGAGTATGAACCATGGCTCATTATTCTACTTTAAAGTCAACCTTTGTGCCCTTACTGTAACACAACCTTTAGCTGATGAGATATGTTTCCCTCCTGGTCACTGCAGCTATAGCAAAATACAACTGTTTTGTTTCCTAGAATAGATAAGATTGCCAGGGGATAACTTTGAGATCATTTTATTTGACAATATGACTTGACTTGACTCCAAATTATTATTTATTTTGATAAAGCAGAGCAGAAGTTGTATTATATAATCCCCTTTTTAATGTATTTGTTAACAAAAACTAATAAACTAATAAACAAAAAGTGTTATTTTAGTTGGCTGACCTCAAAGCTGTCAGTTAGTCATTCCTTCCCAAACAGAAACTAGACTTATGGTTTCAGATGAAGCTGCTCACTCATGATCTCAGAGAGCCTGTTGAGCTCAGTCTGATCTGCAGTAGACTGATAGTGCTGTGGAGCTGGTGACAGTGTGTCAGCCTCAGTCCAGCCTCCCTCTGCTGTCTGTACAAAGATATCAGCCAGTGAGTCAGCTGCATGTTGGAGGTCCATGCTGACTTCCCATTTATTCTTAAAATATGCCACTGGAAGGGAGTTTCCTTTTGCCAGAGGTGCAACCAATTCATTGTTTTGCAAGTTTCAAGGCTTTGCACTCATGTCACAAATTGAGTCTGACAAGTCCCAAGTCCTAAACTTTGAGTTTTGAATCCTAAACATGCCATAATGTGACATGAGTGATATATTTAATTATTAAAAGGTATACTCCTATACAGTGTTAGGCAGTAACTCATTACTAGTAAAAAATATTACAACATTAATTAATTACTTTTGTTCTCACCCCCTACTGATCTGAAATAAATAATCCAATTGCATCCTTGCATCTGATTAATTTTTGTAATCATGGAGGAAACTGGTTTGGAAGATGAAACACTTACATTCAGCAGCTGTTGTAAGTCTGAATTTTGGGGAGAAGGGACACCGTTATCAACTTTGTGGGGACTAGCAGAAATGTAATATAACTAGTAGTGTAACAAATTGCTCCCAAATTGTGTGAATGTGTTAATTTACGAATGTGGCATGTAGTGTAAAAGTGCTTTGAGTGTTCAGAAGACTAGAAAGGCGCTATACAAGTACAGGTCCATTTACCATCCATTACTTATGGTAACGAAATATATACAATATATGACAATACATACAAAGTAAAGTATGCCACAGTATGTGACCGACATAAATGAAGTGAGTAATTGCATTTTAATCATATTACTGCACCTTAACCAAATACATTTCAAGCATCGAGTGGGTGATAACTCAGAGTTTTGACACTCAGGGAGGAGTTAAAGCCTTGCAGATCAGTTTATTGAGTCTGTTAGAGTCCGCTACCCTCAACCTACTACCCCAGCAGACAACAGCAAACAGAATAGCACTGGCCACCACAGACTCATAGAGCATCCTCAGCAATGTCCGGCAGATGTTGAAGGACCTCAACCTCTTCAGAAAATAGCAATGGCTTTGGTCCTTCCTGTTCCACAATACAATGGAATCTTCAAAATGTAATTATATAGGATTTTATATGGGAGTGTTGTTAATTGAATTCACAACCCCAGAAGGAAAAATAATTAAATGTATGACCAAACAAGTAATAATGTGAGGCATAAGTTTGAGGAGTTGATCTTTCCTTTTCTTTCGTCTTTAGTCATAATTTCCTCTCTTTTTGCATCAGCAATGTGGCATTCAAACTTGGTGCTGGCAGTGCTGATTGGGTGTACAGACCCAGTCTCAGGGTACAGTAATGGAAAGGTGAGCGTTGCTTGTGAAGACATGGTGCCTCAGCATGGTTATGAGCCCAGCCCAGACCCTCCTCCATACAACATCAGTGTGGATAAATCCACATTCAGTCCAGGTGACAACATCACAGGTAGGCTGCTAAGCATTAGTTTCCACTGTGGTGACACGTCATCTCTCCTGTTAGCTCATTTTTTCATCTCATTCTTCATCCACAGTATCTTTACAAGTGGCCTTCTCCTACCCCACGTTCTTCAAGGGGTTCCTGATAAAAGCTCGGGATGCTGGGAAATGGAACTCCCCAGCAGTAGGATTCTTTATCCTGACTGACCCACATGAGTCCCAGCTGCTACAGTGTGGCCACACTCAGGTATAGAAACATCATTGTTCTTAATGTTTTCCTCAAATCTCTCATGAACTAGCTTTAAAGTTAGTCAACCATTTTTTCACACTGTGTGCCAGAGTCACCATTGGAGCAAACAGACAAACTGCCCTACACTAACAGTGAAACAACACTCTTATACAACATAAGAGCCTTGTTTCATCCTCTTCTCATTCGTAACTCATCAAATATGGCCACTTGGTCTGTGACCCTAAGCCTTAACTATGGTACCCCTTTAATGTCATATATGGCTGAAAAGGGGTAACATAATGTTTTGATGTGCTGTCAAAGTCAGGTAAAGTAGTGTAAAAAGCTAGAAAGTCTGTATTAATGGGTCAGACAGAGACAAGACTTTCAATTGGGAGATCTGAGGAGAACTGACCAAAAGTCAAAGCTGACTTCTATTTAACTTACATTACATACGTATGCACTTAAAGGTCCAGTAAGGAGGATCTAGTGTCAGAAATGGAATATAATATTCATAGGTTTGTTTTTCATTAGTGTATAATCACCTGAAAATAAGAATGGTTGTGTTTTTGTTACCTTAGAATAAGCTGTTTTTATCTACAAAGGGAGTGGGTCCTCTTCTATGAGGCTGCCATGTTGAACCACTATGTTTCTACAGTAGCCCAGAACTGACAAAGCAAACACTGGCTTTATAGAAAAAATATGTTTTCACATACAAGGAATTTGCCATGGTATATCGGTGCATAACAATAAACTGAGTACGAAAAAAATTTAAATAAAGATGTAATAAAGGCAATAAAGATGCATATATACTGTTTATATGTATACATATACAATATGACACAAAAATGACTTTTGCAATGTGCAACATATAATCCAATAGATAGATAGATAGACTCATACAATGTGAAATGTTTCTCTGCAAGTTATATTTTAAAAGTCAAACTGGATGTTGCACATTATTAATTATAACCTGATGAAACTGTTGCATTTGAGTTGGGAGTGTGAATGTTTTGAAAAAATGATATGGTGAATTTTCCTAAATACATTTTTGGCGTTCAATATTGGCCTACAATTTTTATTTTGTTATATTTTATTTTTTGCAGGATGTCCCTTTAAGGGGCCATGCAAGTATGTAAGAGGAATAAATATGCAAGATAACAATAGGTTATAAGAAATAGTGCCTGAGGTCTTTGTTTAGCCCAGACACTATTGTAGAACTGCAGAAAAAACAAGAGCTTCACTTGAAATAAGCATATATTAGGCCAAGTGCTTCATATGAAATGTTTAATACACAATGTTATTATTTGCAACAGTTGGGTCTGTGTCATGACCAGATGGATTGTGAGTTTTGTAGATGGTGACTCTCTTGTTTTGTATCAAAGAGCCTGGCCTCTCCTGGAGGTAATCTATATATAGATTAAGAATAATAATATAGAGCCAGTGGTTTTGATCAAAGTATGTAGATCAAACACATACAGATATTAATACTGACATTATGTACTCATTCAGCCAGCCATAGTGATCAAATACTGACAAACCTGTCAGTGGTGCAAATGAGTAAGAAATAAGCCTTGACTCGATAAATATAATGTTGCTAGCCTGTGAGGTTTTTGTTAAGGCTGAGAAAAAGGTTTCCATGTACTCTAAGACACACACTCTGTTCAAATGCTGATGTTACAACCAACTTAATTATTACCTTCTGTATGTAAGCATGAGCTAAAGCAGCATGCTACCTCAGCACAAACATTATGCGTTTAATGACGTTCTTGTGTGTGTGGCGCTGTGAATCCCTGTCATTTAAAGGGATCTGGGGTGAGCCACAAGAGCAGCACAAGAAAGACTCACATTCAGGCGGTGTGGAAATCTCCAAGAAACCCTCCACACAGAGTCCAGTTTCTGTGAGTACACATTACACTTCAGTTCAAGTTTGAACTTAAATACAGGTCTAGACATTCGTTGTATTGTGGACACAATCTGTGATTCAATAAAAGGTTTATCCAGCTAATTTTTCTTTCACAGTAATTGAAAACCTGTTAATAAACTTCCACATGTATTAATAGGTCTTGTGATACAGGCTGATGAATCACATGGTTTTTTGCAGTAATGTTTTTGCTATAGTTTACCCCCTGTCCCCTGCCTGCTGGTTCCCAACTTTTTCTTCAAGGGACCCCTTGTCTATCATTGAGTAAACTGATGACTCCTGACTAACTGACATATTTGGATATTTCATATTATTAAGTAATAATAACAATAACAGCCGAGAATAATAAACTGTAAAATAAACCCAAATAGTGAACACAATAACTGCAGGAAGTTTGTGTCAAACTACTGATTCTTCTTTTCTGATTTTTCTTGATATTTTTTAGGTAACTTTGTATGTGTTAGAAGGCCTTGTGACCCACCATGAAGCTTTGGTGACCCCTAGTGAGGGTCCCGACCTCTCTGATATTTGACTTAGAGTCATACTTTAGTATCTGAATGTGTATTTCCTTTTTTGTTCCAGTGTGACGGTGGTGCATAAATATAATATGTACTGGGTGAGGATTGCAGGTCCTGTGGTGTCTCTAGGAGTGACCACTGTTCCATCCACTGTTGTTCCTGCTCAGACCACCAGCCCCACTGCTTTGTCCACACCGGTCAGTGTCTGACACCATCACACACACTTTAAGTGATAATCAGAAGCCTGCTATGAAATATGAAACCTTACTAAAATTGTTAGAACAATATTCAACAAAGTGAATTTAGTGTTCAAATTTACTAAAGGCCAGCTCGCGGTTTAGGATTAATCGCGAGCTGGCCTTCTTGCTGTTTGACTAGTCAGTAATATAAGCTGGCTTGCTATGTCTTGCATTGTTGCAATAGTTTTTGATAAATAATCATAACAAATGCCTTTGTCTATCTCTACGACTGGTATTACAACTGGGAGCACCAAATCACAACAAATACCAAATCTAACATAAAAAAAACAAGCAGGGAATGTTTAAATTAGCAAATTAGAACTATGTTATATGGGTGTATGTTTATTGATTAATTGCTTAATTTTTCGATTCTGACTGGTCGATTCTGACTGGTCCCATCGATTCTGACTGGTCCCATGCCCAATGGTTGTTGTACTTTTTTTTAAATCTAAGTTACACTCAAAGGTTCATCTTTGAATTTGCTTAATTAAATCATGGTACAGATTTCCATGTGATTAAATGACTTTCTTTCAGGATTAAGCAAATTATGTTGGGCAAATTTAATTTACTTGGGTTGAATCAACTCAATTTACTAGTGTAATGTTACAACTGTAAAATTAGGGAAGTTCAATAAACCTTACTAAATTAGATTGACTAAATTAAGTTTGACCAACATAAATGCTTAATGCTGTGGAAATACTTTTCCATGATTCATTTAAGTTAAATACGTTTTTTTATTTTATTTATTAATTTAAAGTTTTTTGAGTGAACATAATGTTGCTTTAAAATTCACTAGCATCATCTCTTTCCAGAAACAGTGTCCTTGATGCTTTAGATACAAGACAGACCACACTGACAACATTTTATTTCTTCTGTAGAAAGTAGTTTCAATCAAACTGTTCAAAGTTTTAGACTATCCAATAACCAGGTCATTGTAATTCTGAATAAGAATGTCAACTACTTTTCTGAACCCTTTTTTTTTGTTCTTTCTCAGCTTAGTTCAGCAGGTTGTGGTCGCAATAAGTCTTGCCTTAGAGACCCAGTGGGCTGTCACCCTGAGTCAGATTCCCACTGTTACTTCCTGTCATTTTTTACTGACCAAAAAGGACAGAGTGTGATGTTTGAACTCAGTGGGCCTGCTGAAGGTTACATGTCCTTCGCCCTCTCTCTGGACAAATGGATGGTGAGTTTAATCATGAAGTGTACTGGTTTGTAATGGTTTGTACTGTACACAGTTGACACCGCTAAAAAAACATTAGTGCCTCTAAAAGACCAAATTATTTAACTTCTTGTATGACACCTCATACTGAATAGGATAAATAAGGCAACAAATAAAATATCTGCTTGATATACCTGTACCACCCAGTGTTTTTATTCATCTTTCATAATTTTAATCTTAATTTAATTAATTAATTAATTAATTAATGACATGATCATTCCACTGCATTTGCAACATTTTACATCTTGTTGTGTTTTATATTTTTGAATACTTTGTTGCAGCTTGCCGATTTAGCTTCATGTTTATGTTGTCTTGCAGCATTGTACTAAAACTATGGGGGACTTAATATAAACAGGACTGAGTCCATTGTTCACTGTGGCTGTCAACACTCTGAAACATAAGCTGACAGTTAACACTTTAATCTTACAATCACTGCATTTTAAATCCAACATGTTGGACTACAGAGCACATAAGATAAGATAAGATAAGAAAAAGACAAAGAGAAACATAGGATAGTAACATAATATTCATTGTATCTGACTGCATTTGTGATGTAGGATAGCTACTGTATCTACAGTAGATACAGATATAGTTACCAAAACCAAAAACAAGGTGTAAGGTGGTGGCACTTTATACAGTGTATTTAGCAATCAATGTTTTGTTATGTTTTTTAATATTTTTTAAAAGGTATGTATGTGTATTCATTTAGATGATAATAGGTATAAGAAAATCTTCCTGTCAATTAGTCCATTTACAGTGCAATTAATATGTAGTTTAACTGTTTCAATCAGTGTTATTAACTTCACCTGTCAGTGCTCATAATTTTATGGCTGATCGGTGTAGAAAACCTTACTTTGACTTGGAAATAATCTTATCTCTAAGCCAAACTGTGTCCTGTTATAATAAGAAACACAATGAGCTGTATGTATGTAATGTTTTTCTGCCATTGTAGGGGAATGATGATGTCTATCTGTGTGTGAATGATGGAGGCAGAGTTACTATCAGTGCTGCACATGTCACTGGACGACAACACCCTGAGCTGGTGACAGAGGTACACACTCAAATACACACTGATCACTATCCACATACATTTATGTTTTAACAGACAATCAGCTGTCCTATGTCTCCAGGAGGATCTCTGGGGTCAAACCTGGAGGTTGGCTGATGGGGTCATCCAATGTCGTTTCCAAAGAAGTGTCCTCCTCTCTCAACAGGACAACCGGTTCAGCTTAAACAATAGCTACTTCTTGTTTCTCGCACATGGTAGATCTCAGCAGGGTAAGACAGTCAGGATTTATGGGGCTTAATGGGGCTGAATGTCTCTGTATGTCTGTGAATGGGTGAATTTGGCATGTAATTTAAAAGCGCTTTAAGTGGACAGAAGACTAGAAAGGTCCTATAAAAGTACAGGTCCATTTTCCATTACCATTTATGTGATTGTATGACTGATATAAGTTTGCAGGAATTTAAACTATTGTAAAAAAACAATAAAATTCATATTTTTCCAGTTATTTGTATCCACTACCAATCTGATACAGTTGAACAGCCAGAAAATGCAATACAATACTTTACTCTACTATACATTTTTTGTATTTGCGCTTAATGCTATGGAGGTTTCTGAAGCGGTACTCAGGGGTGGCAGAAGTATACACAGTTTGCTCAAGTAGAAGTATAGATACTGTAAAAATAGACTCTGGTAAAAGTTCTAATTCAACTTCTTTGCTCAAGTAAAAGTAAAAAGTACTTTCTTGGTTTCTCTAAAGGACATTTCTACCAGCAGTTTCTGGGACGAGTCTCCCTCTTGTCCGTTTTGACATTGTTATGTCTTGTATGTTGTTTTCGTCATGGCATACATATACTAAATATATAGACATGTAAGTGCAGTCCATTTACCATTTAAAAACAGAAAATTGACAATTCCCCCCATTGCATTAAAACAAAAGTGCCCACTCACATGCTCCCTCTGTCTCTGGTTTGCTCTTTGTCGCTTTCTGTCTTTTTCAGTTTGTTTTTCAATGTTTGTTCAACCTCATACTGCCCACTGTTCTGCCTGCTGGACACTAGCACTGCCTCACTGACTGCCAGTACTGTGAGACGTTAGTAAGATTAGACGTCGTGCCCTTGAAATACATAAAGAACAACACATAGTTGGGGTAAACTTGTGGCGGCTGTGGCTCAGGACAGGTCGTCCACAAATCACAAGACAGTTTAATTCCCTCTGGCTGCATATCAAAATGTCCTTGAGCGAGAAACTGATCCCAAAATTGCTCCTGATGCTGTGCCATCAGTGTATAAATGTGTGTGAATGGGTGAATGTGACATGTAGTGTAAAGCTTTCAGAAGACTAAAAAGGTGCCATGTAAGTGCTGTCCATTTCCTATTTAGTGTACAACTAAAACATTATACATATTTTACATGTTAAGGTCTGTTAAAGGTCCAGTGCGTAACATTTAGAAGTAAGAATACTTTTCGTTACCTTAGAATTAACCGTTTTAACAGAGGGAACTGGTCCTCTTCAATGGAGTTTGCCATGTTGAAACACCATGTTTTTACAATAGACCAGAACAGACAAATCTAATACTGGTTCTAGATAAGGCGATTTTTGCGAGTTTCACAGCCACGTAGTTTCTCCTACAGGCTTGGTTGAGCCCAAGTGTGAATCTATCATGACATAACCCATTGGTTTGT